CCCCCCACCCTTGCGAATGTCTATGGTGTGTGGCTCATACTTCAGCCCCAGCTCCTCCAGGGCTATGCCAACCTGAATGCATTGAGGATGCGGGTACCAGAGGTCGCCAACAATGGTGATATGTTGGGTGTCACGTTGAAACCGGGTTGCACGATCTGCTTGCTTGCAATGCATAATTCGTTTGCAATGGGAACAGGCAGGCGCGGCAGCGTGCGCAGGAGACGCGGCGATGGACGTTGCTGGGGCGAGGTTATGCGTCGTGTAGCTGCCGCACGGCGGTTACATACCTTTTGGCCGTTGGGCGTCCCAATGCTGTACAGCTGGATTGGCCGGTTTTGGCTGTAGCCGTCCCGGGCTGCCGCAGGGGCCGGCGCGGCGGCCGCGGCGCCGCTCGCGGCGACAATGAGGGGCGGTGATGACAGGAGGACGGCGCGGCGGGGGAGCTGTCTGCGAAATGATTCGAATGATGTTTGTTTGGGATGGGGTTGGTTGGAGTGGGAGTGGGTGGCACCTGGAGGATCGCCCTCGGCGGGGCGCGGTGGGGCGCAGGGGTTTCAGCTCGGGGATGGCGGCGCGGGGGCTGGGGTGCGGGGCGCTCGAGGTGGCCGCCCCATCCAGCACCGGATGGGGTGGCGCAACGCGGTGGCCCTGCCTCCAAACAGGATATCGGGTGCTGCGCGATTTTGAGCGCAGCTATGCCTCAGCTGCGCTATATGTATGGGCGGCGGCCGTCGCACCCGCGCAGCCCCTGCTGGCGATGAGTGTGCTACTGCATTCGGCGATGCTCACAGGTCTGGTGGCAGTGCGGCGCAGCGCCGCGTGGCGGCTTCCGGCGCCTTGAGCCGTGCCTTGATCATATTGCAAGCTGCGGTTATAGCTGAAAGTATTGACAATCAGAGCTTGTATCGAAGAGATCGCACGCGCGATCATGCCCCTGCGTCACTATGACCGTGTCGGCTTGTCGGCGACAGAGCTCTGACACGAAATTATCAATACCTACCCGAGATTTGGTCACAGAGAGGATACAAATTTGGCCCCAGTGGTGAACTGGCCGGCAGCGTACATCACCCAACATTGCGGAAGTGGTTGCATCGCCGGTTCTGCTGCTAACCCCCTGGTGTGCTGGCAGGATGGCCCGCAGCACTGAGCTCATGTATGTAAATGTGATCCCTAACTGCTCCACCCATGGTTACCTGCGGAGCGCCTGCATGGCCCGGTCAACGCTCGCACGCAACGCGAGTTGACCGCAGCAGCTGGCTGCCCAAACGCGTCTGCAGGCTGCACGCTTAGCCCACGTCCAAACAGGACGCGTTTGAAAAGTGGGATGGTGTGGTATCAGGGGCATGTTACATGTCCTCTGCACAATCTGGGTGCGTTGCATCAACTTTTTGGCGCACAAGTAATTGCTGGGCTTCTTGAAGCGACACCCCCATCCCCCCGTCACACAACTCAAGGTGTAGCTTTGACAGTATGTATGCACAAGTATCAGCAAACAACAAGCGCGGCGCACCGAAATGTCACTTTGCACCTCAGGGCCGAGCTGCGACGCTCCAGAGCAGTTGCCGAGCAGCTGCAGCTGGGCGCCCGCCACTTGATGAGGCGCGACCCACACACTACCATGGGGTCGGACAAACCTTGCGCCGCTTGCACGCCGCGCAGCAAACAGGCAGCGCATCAGTGATTTCTGTGGGCAACTAAGGGGGTTCTGCGCCAGGTAGGGCCAAACAAGGCACCCGGCCCGCAGGCTGGCCGCCACCATCACAGCGCCCAACTCGTCCTCGATGACGCCAGCCCGCCCACCCACGCCGCGGCCACAACACGGCCAACATTCTCCGCGGCTGCAGCCGCGGGCGCTCGTATGGTCGCGCCGCGGACCCGTGCTTGCAGCGCGCGCGGGTGCTGCGGGCCGCGCGGATTGGCTGGGCGTGTGATGTCGGCAAGTGCTCCGCCGCGCCGGCCCAGCGGCAGGCGTGCACGGGCAGCAGCGGCAGCTGCAGTTGCAAGTGGTGCATGCCCAGTGATTGCATGCCGGGCAGCTGACTCTTGTGTGATCATGTAAACGGCGTCACCTTCAGGCCGGCCTGAGGGAGGGTGGGTGACGGGTTTGTGTGGGGGTTGGCAGAGGGGCTGAGGTGGGAGCAAGAAGATGGTCTGGCGCACACATCACAAACCCCTCAGATAACGACCCGATAGCAGGCAGCGACAACAAGTTCCGCAATGGAAAACAAAGGCGCGAAACAGGGTCTTGATCGCCGCCGACGCAGCAGCACTGGTCACCAAAGCAAACCTCGGAAAGCGGGCGGGCAAGCACCCAGGGAGGCTGGCCCGCACGCACCTGTGTGGCGGGCCGCGCCTCGCAGCGCGCGAGCCAGGCCTTGACGTTCTTGTAGCTGTCCAGCCCCAGCAGCTCCCCCGCGTCAAAGCCGGCCTCCAGGCCCAGCACGCGCACCCTGCCGCCGGCGATTTTGTATGTAGACATGTGTGAGTGCGTGCGTGAGGAAGGCGGCGCACCAGGATGAATGTGCGCACACACAGGGCGGTCCCATAGCTCCACAAGATGCACAGCCAGGTGCGTCAAGCAAGGGGCACACGTGGGATCGTTAAGGCGAGTCAAGGCGAGTCAAGACGTGCCCCCGGGGGCGGCCCCGCCGCACAAGGAGGTGCGTGTGTTGAGAGGGGGGAGGTTGTACGCAGCGGAAGGTTGGCAGCTAGGGGCGCAGCCACAGAGACTCCAGGGGCGTTCATGGGACCCCGAATGTGACGTTCGAAGATTTGAAAAGCGCCGTCCAAGCGCCCACCCACCACGGGAACGTGGCCACGTCAGCCAGGGTGTACTCTGACCCGATTATGTAATCCCGCCCCTCCAGCTGCTTCTCCAGCACCGCCAGCAGACGCTTCACCTGCGGGTTGAGTGACGCCGGGGTGATGTCATGGTGACGTCAGGGTGACGTCAGGAAGGGGTGAGGGTGGCGTCATTCTGACATTGGGGGTAGGTGCAAGGGGATGGGCTTTGGGTGTGCTTGGCTCCAGCACATTTAGTGAAGTGATTTTGCAGGCGAGGCCGCGTTTGCCTTGTTGGGTATGGGGGTGGGCCGGTGTCACCAGCACCGACCAGCAAGCCTGACGGCAAGACAGGCAAGGGCAGCGGCCGCCGCTGCTGCTGCTTCTGCTGCTTCTGCTGCTTCTGCTGCTTCTGCTGCTTCTGCTGCTTCTGCTGCTTCTGCTGCTTTTGCTGCTTCTGCTGCTTCTGCTGCTTCTGCTGCTTCTGCTGCTTCTGCTGCTTCTGCTGCTGTGGTGGCTGAGGCTGCTGCGGCCGTGACGTGTGTTGCTGTGTGGTGCTCTTGCAAGGGCGACGCGGTTTTTCAAGCAGCTGGTGCAATTTTCTGCTGCAGGTCAGCCGCTTGGAAAAGCGGCGTTGCTGCCAGCCCTTTTTAACCACCGGCGCCGGTGGTTGAAAACACAGTAACTCGACCGCATCCCTTGCTTGCCCGCGCCTCCCCCTTCCCCAGCAACCCCTACCCCCCTCGCTACCCCCGAACAAGCCCCCCACCTCTGTGCTGTATCGGTTGATGCCGTACTCCACCCTCTCAGGGGCGTGCCTTTTGGGGGGGGGGTTTGAAGGGGGGGGGCGTGCATGCCTGTGTGTTCAACGAGATGTCGGGGGTTGACTGCCAGCACGCGGGCGGGCTGCTCACAAAGCTGCCCCGGGCCGCAGGCGCGGGCCGGCGGCGGCGCTCGGTGGTGGCGCCCGGGCCCCGCCACCCATCCGGGTTGAAGCGGCACGCTTCACCGCCTGCCTTGAACATGTGTTGCGTGCGGTCGGCCTCAGCACCGCTGGGAGCAAGGCACCCGCAGACATTCGCTTCCCCCCTCTGCGCACACAACTGGCCACGTGTAGAAGTGCCCAAACCAGTCGAAACTTGGGGTTGACCCTGCTGCTGGGCCCTGAAACCCCGCAGGACCCGTTCGCCTGGCTTCACACAAATGCTCACTTGTGGAAGTGGCCGAATTGGCCGAACATGGGGCCGACCCTGGGAGGCGTGAAAGGGCGCGCAGGCGTGGACAGGCAGTACGGGAGTGTCCAGTGTTGCGGGTGCATGCGGGTGGGTTGAGTGGGAGCTACTGCGTCAAGGATTTGGTCACGTTTCTCAGCCCACAGCCCCGTGGAATCAGGATGACTCCCGCGCTGCACACGCAAAACCAACGCGTTTGCGTAAGCGAACATTTAGCAACCAGGCCCGACGAGATCGCGCGTGTTGACCGGGTCAAACGCGGCGGCTCACCCGCCGATCTGCCAGAACAGCCAGCTCAGCGCCTCCCACTTGAGTGCGGGGTCCGAGGGCAGAAGCTTCCCTCCCGCCTTTTCAGACAGGTACAGCAGGATGGCGCCAGACTCAAACACCGCCAGGGGCTTGCCACCTGCATCGATGCGTGTGTGTGTGTGTGTGTGTTTGTGTGTGTGTGTGTGTGTGTGTGTGTGTGTGTGTGTGTGTGTGTGTCACGATGTGGCAAATGGGGTTGTCAGCGGAGGTTTTGAGAGGGTGCCTTGGGTTGGAATTTTTGGGCAGAAGGCCGGGAATTGCAGCCGCCAGAGGGATCACCCATGCTCTACGGTCTGCGAAAGGCAGGTGCGGGGACAAGGGGCGGGGAGCGCGAAGCTGCCCCAGCGCGGCCGCCGCGGCACACGGTGACAGCTTGGCAAGGAGTGCTTTTGCGGCAGGCCGCGCCCGGGGCCGCACGCTTGCTTCCTCAACCCAACGGCGGCCCTCCACATATACACAGGGGGTTTATAAACCATTCTTATAAACCCTCAACCCTTTGGTAGAGGCCCACCGCCACCGCTAGCCTCGCAGCAACGGGCACGGATGTTTGCTACGGGTGACGCTGTTACCGCTTGGCTGTGCTCCGTCTGCCGCAAGCAATAGGAACGCAGCAGGCAGCACCCACCGGGGCCGTCGGGGTCCTCTATCGCGGGGATCTTGCTGTTGGGGTTGATCTTCTTGAATTCCTCTGAAAACTGGTCACCTGGGGCCAAGATTATTGTTGTGTTTTGTTTGGGGTGGGGTGTGGGGAGAGGGAGGATGGGAGGTAGGGCCCTGGAGATGGGGGTTTCTTCAGTGGGGAGGGTCGAGTTGGTTTGTGTGGGGT